GAACCGCTGAAGTTTATACCAAAGGTTAAAACCGGTCTCAGCTATAACTAGAGCAAGTAAAATCTTTTGCTTTGAGTTTTCCACCGCCTTGCCAGCACTTAAAGAACTAGCACAAAAGAGCAACCACAGGGTTGACTCTGGGTTACTCCAGACTTGCTATTTATGTCTCCAAGACAGACAGCAACTCTACCACAACACTATTTTGAGATAAAACATTAATATGCATTGAAATTACAGGATGCCAGAATTAGGCAGGAGATATTAAAATACTAAACGTAACTGTTGCAACTGTATAGAGTTTGTAATAACATTTGATCAGTTCATCCATAAAAGAGTTTACAATTTAGTTGTCCTGGCTTGTTATTTGTCAAATTTTAAAAAAAGGTAACGTGTTCAGAGCTGATTGTAATAATTTAATTTGCTGCTTCTAGACTCTACTTGAATTCAAATAAAACCAGAGTCCAGTCAATAAACAAACCAGAAGTGATATTAAACATCATCTTGAACAGCTAAGGAAAACAAAGACTGAAATGTCATGAAACTAAGTGTTGTTTCATACAGTTTATCTGTCCTTAAGTGCTTTGCATTCCAGAGACCTTACCTTTAAGATTTTTTTACGATTCAATTCTTGAACTGCCTATGTCAGTTGCCAACATGAAAACAGACTACTGAGGACCTGACTCAAAAAAACTATCATTCCTCTTGAACAAGTCAAACAGTTGCTAATATGTGGGTTTTGTTTGTTTGTGGTGCAATACCTGGACATCTATACAGCTTTCTTGCCTGTGCAATATCTCCTTTACTTAGACGAGTACGCTGGCCAATGGCAGGTCGTATACCATTATCATCACGGGAAGGGAGAATGGTATCCAGAAACATGCCCCTAAAAAAAATAAAAATAAAAATAGACCCTAAAAAACCCTATCAGGTTTCTGGCATAAAACTGTCTGAGTGTTATGAATGTATAATACTATTTTGTAAATCTCGAATTTACATTTGGCATAATTAAGAGGGTAAAGTGCAGAACTTTAAATACAGAAAACACATCACAAAAATTCCTCAGGTTGGCAAACTTTAAGCAAAGTTATCAAAAAAGAATCTTCTTTCAGTAAATCAATTAACATATCAGCTTTTATATTTCTGTTAGACAACAGGAGGGAAATCTCTTACTACTATTTAGACTACAGAGGAAAAAGGCACTGCTGTTAAGCTCTTGCTATATTGAAAACAATTAATTACAAAATTATACAAACCCACATAAATTAGGCCCTCTCACAAAATTCATAATCACAAAGTTCCTATTTCTGACAAAGTTTTTAAAAGAAGTCTTAAAGTCTGACTTACATGTGTAAGAGTAGGTAAAGTCAGGCACACTTGCCTATCATTCTTCTGTCAGATGTTATAGCATACCTAACTCTACTCTAGCAGCTGCTGCTTTTGAAACATAAATGTCTACTTGCCAGCCTCTGCTTGCTTTACAGTAAAATATATCAACTTACCATATGCGATTTTAGTAACATTTACCCTAAATGACTAGACATAATTGAGAAGCACACTTGTTCCAAATGTGCAGTTTTATTAAAAACTTCCCAAGTTTGAAATATGATCCAAAACATTTTGGTAGCCTCAAATTTTAAAAAAGTAAGGTACAAAACTAAGTTCTATTATCATGTTACAGAATTTGAAAATCCCTCAAATCCCATAAAATGGAAGTTAACAGATGAATATATTTCTGTATTCTCTTGTTTGGTTTTTGTGTTGGTTTTTTTTTTTAATACTTCCTTGTCTACTTGTAGGGCTTTTATTGAAAAGTAAAACTGGTATTTTCAGGCATAATGTAAGTCCAAAAATGACTGAACACAGTAAGGATATTTGTAATTAGAAATACCATTTATAAATACAGATTGGGGTTTAGATTATAATAAATGAACCATTTTTGAGTATTGCAGGTACATACTGCTTTCTTTACCCAGTCAGTTTTCTTGTGGCATCACTAGAAACTTTGCAAAAAAAGAACCATCTCAGGATGTTACCCTAATCTAAACACTGAAATAAACTACTTATGACATTATTCAATTTCTAGAAATAAGGCATATTATTATTTCAAAAAAGTGTCTGTATCTATAAATTATAATTTTATTTTCCACTGATTTTTAGGACAGCCAAAAACTGATGTTATCCAAATTTTGAAAAATGTGAAAACAATCCTCTCCTAAATGCCCTAGCACTCTAATAAGGCAACAACCTGTAACAGTTTTAATGCAGCATGAACATCATAATTGTGTGCGACTAGAACTTTATGATGTTCTGTGATTTCTTTACTTATCCAGGTGAGTAAAGTCTAACAACAAACAGCTGGCAACATGCCACACTGAGCGCAACTCATGCTCTCAAGATAACTCAGGGCAAATCAGCACATGACCTCAAGAGTTTGCTGGTTGTTTTTAAACAGTATGAGGTAACAACCTCTTGTACCTTAGGGCAGGGCATGCCTACTCACGGCACTATCAGTTTTTGCCAGCTTGGAAAGTGGCGAGATCAGGGCCCACGAATCAAATTATCTTGCTGTCATTGCCCTAGGACTCTGGGGGATTCCAGCTTGTTAAATTACTCTATTTTATACAGGTTCTTATAATCTCTTCCTTAAAGTAGTGTATCTGTAACTGGGTTAAGTGATGTGACTAATATCTACCTCATGTGGCTCATTCCCATGCTCTTCCAGGGGTGAATTATGTGTATGCCAAATACAACCTTTGGTAGGTTGTTTGTTTGTTTGTTTTTTGTTTTTTTTTTTTTTTAATAATAATAATGTCATTTATACCAAGGAGAACAAGCTTAAGAAATTTGCAAAGGCTGGTGAGGTTTCTGGTGGTCTTCAGTTTATTTCAGAGTCTCAGATTGTCTACCATTTTTGCCTTAAAATGCATGAATTGAACAACAAAAAAAAAAAAAAAATAGGCACATAAATTTTCAAACTAGCATTTTTTTGTTGGAGTTTTTTGAGGTTTCTTTTAATTTACATTACTATTTTCAGAGAGCAGTTAGCTGAACTGCAACTTGGTATGAAACATAACAGGAAACTGGGTGAAAGAATCCTCCTTCACTTATTCTCCAGAAGAGGGCTAGCCTATGGGAACAGCTCATTGTACAGCTCCCCACATCCATGCAGAGATTCAGAGCAAGGCCCATGTGAGTTACTATGGAGTTGGGAATGCATAATGTCTGCTCCTGCAACAGGCTAGAGCAAAACCAGCAGAACTCCTTATTATATGGTTTTGATGACAGTAACAACCTGTACAAACAATAGAGAAGAGATTGCAGCTCCTGTTGACTGTCATCCGTAGCAAAGGTTGTGGCTTGCGTGGTAGATGTCCTAATACCATAACACGTTCTACTCGCATAATCCATAGTTACTCAGACATTATGCATCAAAGGAGGTTTCTCTTTAAGAGAACACATCATCTTACACACAAAATTCCTAACCATTTCATTCATTTGGTTTTTCTAAATTCAAATTTTTGTGGAGACAAAAAGAAAGTGAGTATTATAAGAAATGATATTTCCAGATTATCTCATCTTAAACTCTAAAGAACTGAAGCAAAATCAAAAGGCTGCTTTGAAACTGAACAGAAATGAAACATGTTTAAAAATATAATTAAATTATTCTGACTTAAAATAAACAAGCTGTACTTTGGCTGCTGTAAGAATACTATAGTGCAGGGGATATTTTAAGTGATTTTGGATACTTAAAAAAGCATAGTTCTTGGCATTCACAGAGAGGAATAGAATTAAAAGTCAAAAGGTATAACCTGAGACTCCAACCTTGAGAAGGTGTTCCTGGCATAGTGCATAATGCTGTCAAAGTCATATGGTTCCCCAAGGGAGTTCACCTCTCCAGGCTCCATCTTCAAGAAGTTGTATTCTTGACCTATGAATTATTGATAATTAGAAATTCTTTAATATCTTTTTTGTGAAGATAAAAACCAAACAGGAAAAGAAAAACAAAGATCCTAACCTAATCACTCACTGACATTCATAAATCTTAGCGATTTGGGAGTAACTGTGTGATTTTTATTAACCAAGAGGGCAGACGTCTTCTGAAACACACATCAAATTCCTCATTTTGAAAGACTGTTCTCATTCACCTAACCCACATAAAGGCCCCACATGTTACATTGTGCTTCATGTAGAATCCATAAAATTTGCTGGCTTGGTTCTTAATTCCAGAAAGAAATAATTTTGACAGCAAAGACCCCAGAAGAACCCTCCTCATTGTAGACTCATTAGACTGGATACTAAAGAGACTTTCCTTCAGCAAAGGCTATTCTCTGAGGCCCCATGCAACACAAACACTACAAAGTCATATTTTCAAGAGCCAGCTGTTGCAACTTAACGAAAGCAGAAGAGGAACGAAAGAATTATACTTAGTTCATAATTCCAGACCAGAAGTTCTTTGTCCTAATCAGTGTATTAAGAGATGCAAAGCTCTCCTTACTCCAATTCATATTCCCATTGGTGTCTTGCAAAAGAAACTGCAGTGGCATTAACGTTATTAACCAACACTATTTGCATAATATAACAAAACCCAAATGTCTTGGTGGTCATGACTTCCTGATCCCATTTAGTGATCCTCAGGTTCATGCCACAGCACAAGAAGTGGTTTCAGCCAGAAACTTGTGGGAGTGTGTATCAGCTGCCAGTCATCTTCCAAGTCCTAACTGAGGTGGCAAAGATTTATTGCATCTAAAATTTATTTTGTTTTAAAACATTTTCTATAGGAACCAACAAATACTCCAAGCTATCATTGGACAATTTCTGATTTCACCCCTTGTTGAGCAGATAATTCCCATTAATCAAAAATCAGTGTTTCACAAATACCATGCACATTTACGAACATTGCAAATGAAACATGCCTCGTTCCCTCCCACCTTGCCCACACAACGCAAGTGTGGGCACAACAGCTAGACTGACAAAGAGATGACAGTCACAGTTTAAAGTTCTCAGGTTCCTCAGATGCTTTGTCTCAACAATGCCAAGGCCACTGGCTAAAGCAGCACACTCTGTAGGGAATGAGTAATTTGGAAACGATGGGAAGAGCGCCCATCTTTGTCACAGATTCAAAGTCCTCAGCTTACCTTCCAGGTCTAAACCTCTTAGGCAGCTAAAAAGCTACTGACATGTTTCTACTTATCATTCAATAAAGAGTACAAAAGAAAAGCCCTTTCTCAAGCACAGAAACATGACTTCTAAAGGGCTTTAAAAGCAACGGCTTCCTTCAAAGTTTTTGAACATAATTACTATTTCTCTCCTTCTAGCCAATATAATTTAATGACTTGCTACATGACCAGATCTTTAGAAAAGATTATAATTCAGATGCAGTATTTCATTTGTGAGTTAGCTTGAGATCAGTCTAGCTAAGAGGAATAGCAGCCATAAATGCTCATTTCCGCTCTTCAGTTCATTTCTGCTATTCAGCATTCAGTTTTAAAGAGAGTTGAGCAGATGAAGGAAACACCAAAAATAAACAGACTTTTTTTTTTTTTTCCAAAATACTTATCAGAATATCTCACCAGGCTGGATATTTTCTCTAATAATGGTGACATGGTCATCACGGTCTGGTCGTGTATGTTCGTGCCAAAAACCTATCACATGACCCAACTCATGGACAACTATACCAAATTTATCACAGTTCTTGCCAATAGATATAGCCTGAGGACCATTTCCCCTTCGGCCCACATAAGAACAGCACCTGTAATTAAAATACAAACACAGATGAAAGTTTTCATGCATAACTCTACAAACCATATAGGAAATTCAGTTAAAATATGAGAGAATATTATATTAAAAAAAAAAAAAATCAACAGAACAATGCACTATGCAATTTCTGCAGTCTCACAAACTCTACCTCTAGTGCAAGAATAACTTATTATTCAGAATACCTAACAAAGGACACAAGTTGTTGTGGTTTTGTTTTGTTTTGTTTTTAATTCAAGGTCTTCTTAAAAGATGCTAGCTGTGACCAACAGAATTGTCACTTGTGGCCTTGTATCTCAGAATGACACAGGAACTTCTTTTCACCCAAAGCAGCAATAAAGGTGACTGGAAGTACCATCTCACCCATACATATCACCACTTTCTTGCCCACGCACACTCAAGAGGCATGCAGAGGAAGAACCAAAGGCAAGGTTTCTTCTGTGCCATACTTCTGCTGTGTGTCTTGACAGCACTCACCAGACTCTTGGTCATTCAGTTCTGATAAGACTGCTTTATTTTGATCTGAAAAGTCACCCTACTTCATTAGTTCCATCTATAAAGGGTGCAGAAATGATACAAGTGAAATAGTAGTCCTTTAAAAGATTCACTTCGCATGCAGTTGAAAATACAGAAGGAAGATATCCTGAATGAGATGTGGAATCCTGTGATGCCACTGTGCAATCTCTCCTCTTTTTTTGTTTCTCTGGCTATGGGTGATATACAATGTCATTTGCAATAACAGTGTATTAGGATGCTGAATGCTCTAGATATGTGTGAACTGGTTTTTTTCTCCCACTCCTGTTTTCTTGTAATAGGAACCTTAAGTCCCAGTCACAAGAAAAAACCCAATACAAACAACCAAAAAAAAAAACAACCCACCCCACTTCACAACTGCTCTCATGTTTCATTCCTGTTCCACTGCAATTCCACGATTCCAATGTAAACTTATGGAATAGAGATGCCCTTTTCAGCATTCATACTGTCAGCATTTATCCCAGATGACTGCTTTTTGGTTAGGAAAAAAAAGTCTGCTAGCCAAGCTAGCAAAAGGAGAGAAAGGAAAACAAAGCAAATCCTACCAAAATGGAAGACAATTTCAGGTTTCATAAGCTGATTCTCTGTCACCTCTGAAGATCTTAGATATTTGAAGTCAGCACTATATTCGCTAACAAAAGCCTGATTGCCAGTCTCTGCTCTGTAAATTCGGCAGTCTGTCAGGTGGAATGGAATTGTACTGAGCAGATCACCTCCACCCTCTCCCTCCTCCCCCTTTTTTTCAAAAAAACCCCCAAGTTTTCTGATGCAACATTTACATAACAGAATATATTTGGTCCTTGAGGAGGTCGATGCTAGTGTGGAGAATGATCCTATCCTTCAAATGCCTCTGTGGGCAATAAAGGAAGAGCAGCTATGGGAGCAATACCAATAGCAGATTAAGTTCTACAGACATTTGCTTGTTTCCCCTTTTCAGGTTTTGTGGTGGCAAAAAGACTTTTCATTTTGGTTAGCTGGCTGGTCAGTCAGTCTTGGTTGGTAATCTTCATTGATTTTTGTTAGTGTCTAATACAACTAGAATTTTAAAATATGAATATTAGAGAAGTACAGCAATGGCATTTTAGTTCACAATACCTGTTCTTAGTAAGCATATGCTGGTTTTGCACTAATGGTTAAAATCAAGGATAGATATACCAAAAAATTATAGTAAAATCATAAAGTCATAAAGGCCACACAAGTTACTTTATAGATGAAGATATTACTACTACAGCCTAGGAGAGTTGTGTCAAGAATTTTGAAACTACCTTGAAAATACTGTTGGGAAAAATTATTGTTCACATTACAATCATTACTTGCTATCTCAACTGCTTCTCAAGTCCTACCCTCAAAATATGTTAACTCGTTTCTTCCTTGGTTCCAAGGATAGGTGTGAATCACCTTTTAGGTCAAAGCACTCAAAGCAACAAATTAGGCTCAATGCTGCAGCTAGAGTTGTGCAGTATCATGTTTAATTAATTTCTTAAGGTGTCTTCCCTTGACAGCTCTCTTCAATGTAGGCAAATAAAAACAATGGCAATTTAGAGTCCCTGCTATAATTCCATACCATTGTGAATGTTGCAGGCTTATGTGCTCTGTTTCATACCACAGCAAAAGAAAGAACACCTGTGCTTTGCTCTGTGTATTTTCCTCACTCTATATAAACTGTATTAACACAAAATTACTATTTACAATATTTATGATATAGAAATATTATTATAAACATTGATATAAACAATAGTAATGGAAAAACTACCTTAAAGTGTGCCCTGAAAATAAAGCACAGGTGATAAAAAGGAACAACAGATAGCAGAAATAAGATTAAAATAAAAATTTAGAGCAGTTACATCATTTAATCTCATGATTCCACAGTGGATTTCACCTTTGCACCTGACACGCTGACATGGTTTTGCTTAACATATTTTTCACACTGCGTGTTTGCAGAATAAATATCATAGCTACAGGTGAATATGCAAACATAATTAAAGCACTACAGATATTTTCAATATCATTTTTACCCGGGTTCTTATCTTTCACTAGTAACTCAACTATCTGAATATGTTTCTATTGTGCAATAAGGAAATTACCACAGTTCATACACTCATTCACTCGTGCTCACCCTGGGGAGAAAAGTGTTCAGATCCTTAAAAAGGTTCGGGGTTTTTTTGTTGGTGGTGGTTGTTGTTCCCCCCCGCCCCTTTTTAAACCTCCTACACAGTGTTATTTACTGTCCCATCCAATTAGAGAGGGAATGCTGGAGTACATACTTTGTACTCTGAGCCAAAGGTAGTAGAATTTGCAGTAACTCTTCATTCTCAGAAAAGTTTATTCATTTAATAAGCCATTAAAGACCTTCTGTCCTCAGTACAGAATTCCCAATTCACTGTCATAGGCAGTTGTGTTATATATACTGAATAAATTTGTGAAACACAATTCCTAGGTCCCAGATTTCAAGTCTTTTAGAAAACATTGTTCCTTATCTTTGAACACTTTGAAGTAAGGACTAAGATGTGGCACTTGCTTTGACAGTCTACAGGAAGTCGCGGTAGAAAACATAAAAATCAATTGGAGGAAGTAATCCACATTCTGTGAAAGCATGCCACCATTTCCATATTAGGTGAACTTGGTGGGTTAGGGCTTCCTACCTATGTTAAGGTCATGTACATCATTATGGCAATTATGCAATACTGACCTTAACTTGTGCAAAGAGAAAAAATGCACTGACAATGCCTGATGGTTGTTTTAAAACTAGAAAAGTATAAAATGTGTGCAATCTGTGAAAATTCACATTACAGACTACAAAATATGGATAAAATTCCACTTATTCATACATAATGAAGGTTGGAAGGGACTTCTAGAGGTCTCCAACTTTCTGCTCAAAGCGGGGTCAGATATGAAGTCAGACCAGGGTTGCTCAGTTCTTTATCCAGTGAGGTCTTGAAAACCTCCAAGGAGACAGCACAGCCACCCTGAATAACCTGCTCCAGTGCGTGGCTGTCCACACTGTGAAAAATGTATTCCTTATATCCAGTCTGATTTTCTCTTTCTTCAGCTTATGCCTGTTGCCTTGTGTTCTTCCACCAAGTACCATTGTAAAGAGCCTGGCTTCCTGTTCTTGTTGCCCTCCCTGTAAAAACTGGGGGCTGCTGCTGGGTGCCCCCTGAAGCCACCTGTTCTCCAACTGAGCAAACCCTAGACCCTCAGTATCTCCTCATAGGGCAAGTGCTCCAGCTCCCAAGCACCTTGGCAGTCTTGTGCTTAAGTCCTTCCAGGTTATTAATACTTTTCTCATGCTGGGGGCCCACAACTGAATGTAGGGTCTACCTGTGACCTAGCAAGTGGCAAGCAGAGAGGGATGACTGCTTCGCTTGAGCCACCAGCTGCACCTTCTCTTCACACAGCCCCAGACGCTGTTGACTGATGAGTATGGTAATTCCCTTACACTGGTTATTTGACAAATTTCAAGTACTTCCCAGAAATTATAAACAAATTTATTGAGTGTTTCTTCACACACCAAAGAAAATCAGAATTAACACCAAGTCTTAAAGTAAGAGCAGCAGTGTACACTCATAGAGGGTCATTAGGATTTGCTAGGTTGAGTGCCATGTCAAGCACACCAGATTCATCCAATTAAGCTACAAGATTCTGATCACTTCAACAACTGCACTGAGTCAAAGGGTAAGGAAAACTAAAATAAATTTTACAAAATCTATGAAAGAAATTAATTTGCAATATCATGGGTTTGACCCCAGGTGTGTTTGGCAAAAGGCCAAGACCTCTCTGCTGTATGAGCACTTGTCATGTGCCTTAAATGGAGTCAACTGGCAGCCTTTAAAGCTCCTCATCTCTTAAATCTTTATTGCATCAGACAGCAGTTGGAGACAGTAACTATTTATGAATCTCTAATTCCATTTAATCAGTCTAGCTGATCAATGATGGTGAGTAAAGAGAAACAAATGACAGAGAGAAAGTAAAATGGCTGGAACAATATGCTCATTCTTTTAAGTAGTACAGGTACTGTCAAAAATGCTCTTAAATTAATATGAAGGACAAGAGAATGAGGGTGGGTCAATGTTGCACTTCTTTAAAATGCTGCACTTTTCAAAACACGATAATATAAAAATCGTCACAGACCACAGCATCAGCTTGCCACAGCACTCATTGCATGAAGTTGTGGATGAAAAACTGCAGAACTTCATAAGCACACTAGGACTGCATATCATCACAAAGCAAGAGAAAGTAGTTCACAAAATTAATGAACAAAGTCTCACTCAAGAAGCAGAGGGGTTTTTTTCTTGGTGAAAAAACACCTTTTTCAATCACAAATATAACTCACTCTGTACGAAGGAGATATTGGCTATGACCTGGCTTGGTGAATTTGCTTATTGTCAGGGATCAATATAGTTGTAGTTACCAAATGTTCTGATTCACTGTCCTAAGAGGACCTGTTGCAATGGCAGAAGTGGCTACTGCTTCTTCACCTGCTCAACGGAGATGACTGTCCCAATATGACAAACAGCCAGCTGACTCCATTCCTCAGTTAACAGCTGCCTATCCCAGTGTATTAACATAAATCACCCCTCATTCAGTTTATGCTAATGCCCTGTGGTTTAGACTATGGCAGCTGGTTACCTGCACCTTGGTCACACCCATCCTGCAGGCCACACTACAACCAGCAGAGAAGCTGTGTCAGCTGCTGTGGGCAGGAAGAGTGCCAGCTGCTAGAGTTTATTACCACCTGAGAGCATGAGTCATCCCTAATGCCACACAGTATTTAGTACAACTCTGAATTTCTTCTCATTCCATAAAAGTGATTGAGCACCTTTTATAACATGTAATCCTTCTTAAAGCTAAAGAATGCTGAAAAAGTGTACCTCAGGCAACTTTAAGAACATGCCTGCAATGTCTATTTAATATACTAGCAATTTCAAAAACCATTAAAACATTCAGAAGCTGTTCAGTCTACAATGTTTGGAGAAGCACATGAAAGAGATCTGATTTTCCTGTATCTCAGACAGCTTTGTCAAATACCCATACAAGAGGATACAGCAGTGATTGTAATAAGTCATCTACAGTTTGTCATAAAAAGCACTTAAGTCTTCTGGTAGAGAACAAAAATTGCCACAAAGTCAGATCAAAGGCATGCTGAGATGCCAGAACAATATGACTAATTGTTCTTTTTTTGTCTCACTATTTAAGAAGAAGCTTGATCTTGTACTCAGTAATATTTATTAAGAGAATGTGACTAGAGGCCATTCCAGTTGCCTGACCCCTTTGTTGGCTTTGCATACAGAGAAGTATACTGACTGTGTCTTGAGGCATTTCCTATCAGATAGGAAGAAACATAAGGACAGAGAAGCAGTAGTGAACAAAGAGTGTTTTGAACCTGTTTACAGATTAGTTTTACTTGCCCCAATCAAGTAGCTGCGTAAATATTTGCTGTAATAGACACTAATGCCAACGTACACTGCTTCGGTAGAAGAATCATGAACACTATTATCTTAATACTACATTCTTATTCTCACATCTGCAGCTAATGGGTACAAACGACTACCAGCAATTACAAAATTTCAAACTACTAAGTGCTTCAGCTGTACTGAGAAACAACGTTTCAATAATTAACTGTTCTCAAAATCAGGTTAAATAAACAAGACATGATGACTAATTATAATTTAAGACTGCAACAGATGAAATTATTCTGATGTGAAGGAGGGATCCAGCTGTAAAGCTTTTGACATTTTTCCACACAAGCTGTCCATAAGCAAACTGGAGACCATGATATAAAGGAGAGTATAAAGCTGGTTGGAATATTGTATAAAATGAAGATAGAGATGATGCTCCTTAAACTTGCAGTCTGAGAAAAGACTGCTAAATACCGTGAAGACAAGTCTGGAACTGATAGCAACTGTAACAGATTAAAGAAGAGATCTGCAAAGGGAAATATGGCATTATTTGCTGTCCTGAGATGTGCAAAACATGGCACACACTGAAACCAGTGATGGGGTATCAGTGGTGTTGAAGGAACTCTGGCACTTTATTTAGAGTCACATCCTGATCAACCACGAGTCAAACATGGCAGTTGTTGAGAAACAGGGAGGCATCATGCTTAGGTACCTAAGTGGAAGGAGAGACTACAAGATGTATGAATTAGCTCTAGCATTGGCTCAGCAGAAGTAATGGTTGATCTGGACAAACACATCCTACTTTTGGACCCTCAATTTCAAGAAGGATGTGGACTAGTTGAAAAGAATTTCAAAAAGAATAACAATGTGGCCAAAAGCCTAGAAAACATGACTTACCAGGAAAGACTATATGAATTAGGCTTTTCCTAGCCTGAAAGAAAAGAGAACCAAGGGTGGACATAACAACAGTCTCAAAGTATCTAATAGATTCCTTCAAAAAAAGAAGAGGAATAATTTATTTTCTATGGCCATGGTGAGCAGGAAAAAAAGTTAATGTACTTTAACTGCAGCAAGAAATACCTGTTTTAGCTATGACCGAAACTAGTGCCCCTGACTTCTTAAATTTCTCATATTAAAAATACTGAAGCAATGTAGTTCCTAGCAGGCTGTGAAGTATTCATTTTTTCAGGTTTTTAGAAACAAGTTAGACAAGCATATATGAGCAATGACATAGGTATAGCTGTCTCTGTCTTAAGAATACATTAGACATCTTTCTGAGATCCCTTGCAGTCCTATGGCTCTATGATAATCAAAACTTAACTCTCATTCGTTGCTGATATATAAACTCTCAACTTTAGGAAGGTCATGTATCTCTGATAGCCAGCTGCTATATTTCAAATATGCTTTTTTCATCACTGCCCTTCTGGGATGAGCTTCCCATGAACTGCTGCAAGAAGTAATGCATTACACTCCTTCCAAATATCCTTAATGTTTACAAAGGCTCAAAAACACTTCACTTGCTAGTCTGCTAACTCTGTCATCCGAGATGTTTGTAGATATTGCCACCTGAATTTCCACATACACGACTGTATCCACTTTCATTAAACATCTTATGTTTTGACTGCGTGCTCTTTGGGGCAGGGTTTATCATTTAGTTTTTAATTTGAACAGTGCTAAGTGCAATAAAGTCTCCCTCATGTGTGAATGTTAGCTGCCATGGTACTGCAAACAATAACGACACAATGTGCTAACAAACCAACACAGCAGGGTGCTGTGGGAAAGAACTGAGATTAATTTCAATGCGATTGGCCATGTAGCAGAAAGTGTTTGCAGATGGTTTGGTGTCACTTTTTTCTGGGCTCTTTCCATGGAAAATCCTGCATCAGCACTGTATGCTGGTGGTTAGCGCACAGTGGTTCCTATTCACTCAGAGAAGATACATTCCTATTTATCTGGCTCTTCCTGAAATGGCTTATGGATTCAGGACCCCAGAAAAAGTCATTCAACTGCCCCTTCTGTTTAGCCTGTTTTTTTCATCACTGGTGGACTGTTCATAGCCACACTCTTCCTTGTTTTTATTTTAAACTTTTTACAGCCTTTGTAAATTATGTGTGATTTGTAAAGTGCCCACCAATAAAACATTAACTGTAAAGGACAATGGTGATTTTGAAGTTAGATATTGAGTATATTCTAGCCTTCTGGTTCCAATTGGTTATAATCCAGCCTTCACCCTGAAGTGACTTGATTTCATGAAGCATCAGCCAGCCTAAGAAACAGTGCTTTGGCTGGAGAGATCTTCTGTCATTTGCCTTTGGGCACTTTGAGGTTGTAGAATTTACTTTTCACAAAACCGAGATCTCTGTAGATATCCCCATACTTCTCTTTCTAAAGTGCTGGAGACCACATATCTTTCACACTCTTCTGTTAAATTTCACATCACTTTCTACCTCTGTGAGTGCACGGAACCATCATGATTATTCTCTGCTTCCCATTTCTCTTCCAGCTGTAGGTCAGCATCCCTGAATCCTATCTTACGAGTTGCATCGTTAACTAAAATAATAGCCATGCTGGGTCAGAACAAAAGTCCATTTCATTTGACACTGTTTCTAACAGGGCTCTACAGCAGACCTACAGGAGCAGAAGAACATGACAGGCAAGTTTACAGGTGCTCCTGTAGAATAAGCTCCCTGACTGCAAGGATCTGTGGCTCAGAGACGTTCCAAGGCAAAGGTGATGCCTTTCTTAAAAAAGCCTAGGAGTGGGTTTTATTACGTTGCCCTGTGTCTTAAGAAGAATGTCAGGAGTAATTTAAACAGATAAGTCTACATGTAATTTTATGGGCTGTAATTAAGTACATTCAGCATCACTCCTACAATGCAAGGAGGTCCCAAAACTTCTTTTCACAACCCTATCCCATAAAAATTCAAAAGCAGGCATGGAAAGTGTTCATTGATCAGGAAGTAAGCAGGACAGAGAGCTGTTCACTGTGGAGACTACAACCCAAACAGAAGCTGACTATCAGAACTACACTATTTCCACAGGTAGTGAGCGCTCTTGGAAAATGAACATGGTACACTCAGGAATTTCACTGACCAGTATATAAAATTAAGAATTATGAGTGGAATAAATAACAAACATAGCTGACTGAGGCATTTATGAGCAGAAATCTGAGATGGAACACAGTGATTAATGGAAAGCTGCAGTGATTAGCTATAAAACATGTTTTGTTCACTTTTACACATCAGTGACCTGGAAGAAGGAATTCGCAAAATGGTCATGAATTTGGTGGTTAAACCAATCTGGGCAAGGACAGTCTAACAATAGAAGAGTTAAAATTACAATTAACAACAATTAAGCTGGAAAAGGAGTATGGGATAGATGTCTATCCATAATTCAGCGGTAAACATGTGACACGGCGAAAGCTAAGAATAAACAAACAATAAGCCTGAAATACCTTTACAACAATACACATAAATATTAAAAGCATGACAGAAAGCCAAATATAAAAGTCTCATGTCTGTGTATATACAGTAACACCATTTTATCTAGAAATAGACAAAAGAGGCATAACTTCAAAAAGCTACTATACATACTGCTTTCAATGAAACTAAAGCCAAACAGAACACATGTGTGATTTAAATACAGTAACTGTTCATTTTCCTGTGAAGTATGTATTCACTTATAACTGCAAAGATGACAAACATGGCTAACCATTGAAAGCACAAGTATCTGTTACCATACATACTTACCCACATGGTCTGTATGTAAATACAATATAACTTTCTTCATCGCTTCGTTCGATAAATGTAACGCAAGTGTACTTTTCCCAGTGCCGCATCGCTTGTTTGAACATGGCGCGCTGGGTGCCTGGAAGAATAATTGTATGAGATGAAATAAGAGACTTTTCTAACTGTGTCTTGTTCCTTAAAATCAGATATTAATACCACGAATATAGGCCTGGAAGGAGTCACTGGATCGTGAAGTCCTGTGTCCCAGCAGTCCCATAGACTGCCAGACTCCAATTAAAGGAATACTCAGACCATCAGCTCATCATAACATATCTGCCTGCAAGGGGACCGTAAGTGTCTGACGCACTCTAGCAAACATAAAACCTGCAATAAAAAGCACAGCTATGTTACACCAGAGGAAGACAGCAGAAGAAATTTAGCGCTGCTTATGTGCCTGCTTTAGTATAATATTTTCTAAGCATTTTCCCAGATGAAATTATCAAGTGGACCACATTGGTGGTGGTGGTGGTGGGGGAAGGTTAAAAAAAAATAAACAAGAAAATTGGGGAACCCTGGATCCTAGCTATCTAGTGAGAAGGAAAAAAAAAAAAAAAAAAAAAAAAAAAAAAAAAAAAGGGGGGACCCCGGTTCCTATCATTCAAGAGAAAAAAAAAAAAAAAAAAAAAAAAAAAAAAGAAAAAAAAACCCTACAGCCTTCAAATCTGGAGATCAATTCAACCTAAGCCATGTAAACATGCATACCAGTCAAGGCATTTGATTTTAATAATGCTCTCTTGAACAGGAACCAGTTTCCACTTCTTTACATCAAAACCTGTCCTGGTTTTGGCTGGCATAGAGTTAATTTTCTTCTTAGTAGCGGGCATTATGCTGTG